GACCCTCCGACGGGGAGCAGATGCACCAGCCCACCCGCTCCGCTTCCCCTGGGACCGTGGGCTGCCCCGCCGGTGTCCCCATCCCAGGGGAGCTGAGTAATGCCCCTCGCAGCCCGTGCTGACCCCGGGCCGGGACCGCCGTGACGCTGCAGTTCCCAACCCTGCAACTAAATGGCCGAGTCAGGCGCATGTGACTGCTGTTGAGAAATCAACTGCTGGTGAACGCGGAGGAAACCACTTCCCCGAGCCGCTGGGGAAAACCGCCCTGTGCGGCCGGGGACATCAGCCCCGGCCCCTCTGCTGCTGTGGCTCAGCTCCGGAGGAGCTACAGGCGTTCCCTCTCCTCCTGCAAAGGTGCTGTGCTGGGTAAGGGTTGTGTTACGCTAGCACAGGAGAAAACACCCTCACGACAAACAACACAAGTCAAGGTTGGGTTCGTGGTTGGTTTTTTTTATTGCAATTTTTTTTACAGTGCCTAAACCTAGTCTTGCCAGAGGCTAACACTATGTGTGGAAACCTCCAAGTTCTTTCCTACAGCTCTGTCCACCCTAGGAGGAGGAGAAAAGTAGGATCTGAAACTCAGGTTGAAAAACACAGCTTAAAAAAGCAGGGGAAACCAGCCTCCCTTGGTTTGTGTTTGGGTTTTTTTTTTCCCCCTCCAGCTTTGCTTGCATAAAAACCAAGCACTGCCCTGGAGCTTGTCTCACCTTAACCCAATCTCGCTTTGCCTCAGCTGCTCTTTCAAAGCCACAGCATGGACACATCATGTCCTTTGCAATGACAAACTTGTGCTCAGACCTTCACAGAGTTACCCCGTGTAGCATGACTGCCCTAGTCCTGTCCCAGAGCAGCCAGGGTGGAGATGGGGAGGGGAAAGTAAAGTGGTTGAAGAGGTGAAACCTCTCCTGTTGTGACCCTGGGCCAGAGCTGCCCTCTCCTCTGCCCCTGCCGGGGTCTTAACCTCCCTCCAGCTCAGAGCTGCCTTGAGTTAAACAAGATTAAACAAAGGGGAGAGAGGACGTAGCTAATGACTAACAGCTCCTTTTCCTTTTCCAAAGCACAACCCACCACCCCCTCCCCAAAAGTGAAGACCAAGGGCTGGGCTAGCACGTGATGTCCCCTGGCAGGGACGGGGAGAGGGGACAGCGAGGCCCCGCTGCGGCGGGGAGGCAGAGCGGGAGCCAGGGATGGATGTGCATCTCCTGCCGGCGGTGGGGCCGGTCAGATGGCGGAGAGACGGATCACCCTGAACTCGGTCAGCAGGGCCACGCAGAGGAAGGCCAGGTAGTAGAGGATGAGGCAGATGCCGTACGCCTTGCCCAGCTGGAAGCACTGCGCTGGCACCGACACGAAGGAGAAGACCAAGCTCAGCCCCAGGGCCCCGGCGAGGATCCAGACCAGGAGGCTGTCGGGCTCCAGCTGCCGGAGAGATGGGGAGCGCTGTGGGGTGACACCGGGGTCCTGCTGCCAACCTGACCCGTGCCACCACGTCGCTGCAGCCTTACCTTCACCACCAGCTGGCTGCTGGTCATCTGCAGCAGGCAGCTGAGTCCCACGCCGACCAGGATGTCTGGGGCACGTTCAGGATGGAGACGCAGCGCAGGGGACCTTGGGGGAGCAACAGAGCTGGCCACGTCCCTCCCGCCCCGGGGAGGGGGACAGCACCGGCCCTCCTTCTCCCTGCCTGCCCCCCGTGGCTGTTGCCTAGCCCAAAGCGTTGCCCGTTTGTGGCAAATACAGCCTGGAGCACTCGAGGAGGAGAGGCTTTAGCCTGGCCTGGGGACCACAGAAAGCCTCCCGGAGGGTGGCACAGCCTCTTCCCCTCCTTCCAAATCTGCCAGATTCCAGCCCAAACCCCCACCCCGCTGGGGCTGGGGCAACAGGGGAGGCGGGGGGGATGCTGCTGGCTCCATCCCTGCAGCTCCTGCTGTTCGCAAATACCACGCCAGTCCCCCCGCACTGTGCGGGCACCGGGGAGGCTGCCAACATCCCAGGGACTCTGGGATGGATCCTGCCCAGCTCCTTCCCAGGGGTCCC